CAGGTCAGCATTATCTTTTCTAAGTTGAATCAATTGGTCCTTATGCTGGAGCTTGACTCCGATCTGCATGTATTTTTGAGAAATGTTATTCCAGAATGGAATTGTCATGAGGTCTTTAACTGGCTCGAGTCGGTTTGCATCAAAGTCTAATTTTTATCGATTATCTTTTTTTGTTCCATTAGGTCGATATCATTTCCTATGAAAACAGGTTTTGACGTGATGATTAGTATATTGAACAACTTGTTGACAATATTAGTAGGAGTGAAGTATATTTTTCATTTAATGTTGTATTTTGACTGGCATGTTAGCTCAATCGAAGTAACATTAATTTTTTACGTTGACTTAAGAGCTTGGTCGCTTTTACTATTGCTTCAAAAAATTTTAAAAATAGAACAAAATTAAAATTTTATGAAGTTTAAGAGCTCAGAGTGGTTTAAAAACGCGCTTCTCTCATATTGGTCGTACGTTTTTTGCTCTCGTTGTTAGTTTTCTGCTCTTTGTCAACTTTTTATGTCGGTTCCTCTTTGTCTTCCATTTCAGTATTAGCTGAGCTGTCTGTCTGCTTCCCAGTCCTACCCTTTATCATTGTAACATAACATTGTCATGCTGTGAACTGGTTTTCCTGAACTTCTCTAATTCTTGTAGGTGTTGAAAATTTCACTTTCAAGTGGGGAGCTAAGCCTGAATTGCATAACAAATAGGCTAGGTCGGCCTAATATCATGTTATAGGCAAATGAGATATCTACTACGATGAACTCCACAACCGAGGTAATTGTCTTTAGTTTTGTTCCCAAAAAAATCGAGAGCTTGATGGTTCCTCTTACCGGCACCTATTTATTTCCAAATTCCACTAATATTGTGATGATTGGCTTCATCTAATATTCACCAATCCCCATTTTATAGATGGGCACACATTTTTTATCACATTTTTTAAATTATAATTGTAATTATTTCAATTATCTTAATTAAGATTAGCTCAATTAAGACACAAATTACTCATTTGGACCACCTAAAGTTATCTTCTCAAAGTGCTTTTACAAATCTTTGCCCACTAATTTATTTTCACATTTAGAGGGAAAACTATAAATTTGATATCAAACAAAGAGTTCATAAATCCATAAATGTTGATGTCATTTCACTTTTGCAAATCCACTTTTTTAACTTTTATCATCACCTTTTAAAAGAAGATAAATAAGTAAAGGGGTTACTTGATTACTAGTCATCAAAAGAAAAATGTGACATAATCTTAATCTCAAGAGACTTTCATATTTGATTTTAGTTTTTCATAATTATATATTAAATATTAAAATAATTATAACTCATTCGAATTTATTATAAGTTTATTTTTAATATATTATCAATAAAAAATAATTATATATCTCTTTTTTGTTATCATAATCCATTTTTTTAACATATCTTAAAAAGATATAATATAATAATCTTACAATATTATTGTAAAATTTAAAATTTTCATCAACTATATATAAGATAATTTTTCGATGAAATACTCAATCCAATCATGAGATTGAAAAAAAAAGGTTTATAGTATTAGAGAAGACAATCTCTTGGATGTATATGGAATCTTAACGTATTGATTGATTACTCAAATAACACGAAATTAATAAAAGCCAAATGTTTCGCCCAGAAAAGATCACCACAAATTTGAAAGATTACAAAAATGTTCGTTCTTTTTTAGTTAAAAGAGGAGACATTCGTACCACTTTCTTTTTAACTGTCTTTCTGTGTATAAACAGCAGCACATAAGCGCGTGGATACACGTGGTTTGAGTGAAGAAATTTCATTAGACCTTGTTGCTCACGCAATAAAAAAGGAATGAAAAAGAGAAGAAAGTGACACGTAGACAAAAAACATAAGAGCTTAATGGGACAATGAAAGTCACAGAACTGTACTGCAACGGACTACGGTAAAGTAGCATTCCTCCCTAAATTGCGCTGCCCCAACGTTTTCTTGGACCTTTCACGTAAGAGGCGGTAAACTAGAATAAATGAAAAAAAAAAAAATTAGTTGTTAAAATTTGAATTTATAATTTATTGGATATTATTATTCAAAGGTGGTAATATAAATTTTGAGTTTTAACGTATTCTTGTACATTGTCTCTATCTTCCTCTTGCTTTCCAATTTGTTTTATTTATTTATTTTATTTTTTATAATGCCAAATTTTACTTAGATAAATAAATGGGTTTTTGTTTTTTTGCTAGCTAATGGCCTAATGATACTTTTTAAATTAGTATGTTAAGCAAATATCATTTTTCAATATATTAAAATTATTTAATTAATTGTCAACTATTGCATTTAATACAAAAATATTATATAAGATAATATTTGATATCATTTTTTAGATAATTATGATAATTTAATTAGTGATCTTATTATCTGCAAATTTCGGTTAACAATCATTTATTATTAAGAATTCAAGTCATACTTGATACATAAGATGATGGATGAGATATAATAATAATAATTTCATATTATGTTTGTTTTGTATCTAAAAAAGGGATGGAATTACAAATAAAATTAGTCATCATTTTGGTATAGAATAATTTAATCTTTCCAAAATAGAGAATTATTTTTAATTAATAGGATTAATTATATCTTTAAAAATTATATTAATAATTTAAATTGTATAACTTTAAGGAATGATAATTTTGATCAACAAATAAATTATTCTATCTTAATTCTTACGTATATTAAATACAAAATAAAATAATATTATTTAATTTAATCATATTCATAGTATTATTTTATCTTATTTTATCATATTTTGTGTACCAAATATGTCTTAAAATTATTATATTTGATATTATTAAAAATTAAATATGATTTTATTTGAAAATATCAAAATAAACACATATATTAGAATAGTTATGCAAATTAATGATTTTAGTATTATTTGAAGCTAATGATTGGTAAAATATTAGTAAAATTTCATTTACTTCATAATAAAGTATATCAAATTATTAAATTAAAAAATATATTTATTGATAGATAAGCCAATTTTTAAAATATAAATTATATAAAAAAACATTTGAATTAAAAAATAAATTTAAATATATTAAAAGCATAGCAAAAGAAAATGGAAAAGATTATATTATATATATAAATACTAAAAATGGTTAAAAGATAGCTCAAAATTTATTTTTTAATTGGATAAAATGAATATTGGTTTGAAGTTATAAAAATTTATAATATAAAATAAATGTAATTTTAAGAGAAAACATGTTTTTAATTCATATAGTAAATAGATAAATTTGATTATAGTTAATTTTACATATTATTATAATAAAAGTTTCATACTATTTTAGATAAGAATTAGATATCTTCCAAGAAAATAATCTAATTATTTTTGTTGATACAAAATCACTATTACTAAAAATCACTAAATATTTTATCAAATATTATAATCAAATCATCATATGTAATCATTATAATTTTAAAATCATTAGCTTATATCATAAACCACCTAAATAGTATCTTAACAAACCTAAAAGAATGCTCTAGCACTTAAAAAAATTACTTGTTAGCAAAATCCTAAATAAACTAATCCTAATACCTTCTAGATGAATATAGCAATTTAAACATAAAAAAAGTTGGATAAATGCCAATAAGCTTTATTCTTATTCCAAATAAACCATATATTATTATCATAAAATTTGTGGATTTTTTTTTTGACAAATCTAAAAAAATTATTTTTATTGTATCAATCTACATTTTTAGAGTAGGAATAAATGACTCAATAGAATAGGGGTAAACATTAGACTAAAAAAAGGCTAAAAAAAAAAAACAACAAATGTCAAATTATCGCTTTGCTTGGTGAGTAGTTTTAACTTCTTTCAAGATTAATTAAGGAATTAATTACTGTTAATTAATTAATTAATTAAAGATAAAAAAAGAGAAAATTGGAAAAAGGCCAATAATTAATAATAAAGCTGTGAAGGCTTTAATTACTATATTAATGCTTTGAGTTTGTGTTAAGATGTATGAGAATTTAAATTTGATTCTTTTATAGTATGTAACTTTTTTTAAGAATCTGCTTAGTAATTTTTTTTTGGAAATAATGGATTTACTTATTAATTAATATAATAGAAATTTGGTTGCTAAATTGAATAACCTATTTATTTTTAGATTCTTTCTTGAAATAGTTTTTTTTTTTTTGTTAATTATAGTATTTTGGAACTAGTGTCCTACTTGTACTGATAATGTACACTCATCACAAAAATAAAAACTCTCAATTACAATGTGCTTTAGAAAAAGTTATAAATTATTTGAAATTTGGGTGAAAAAATTTATGAAAATACATTTTTTATATTTTATAAAAATACTAAAATTTTTATTTTTTAATATTATCAAAAAATTAAATCTTAATCACTTAAATTAAAAATCCACTTTTGATAAAGATTCTTACAAAATTGAAATCCAATACTTAATATTTATAAATTTCTCTTAAACTTTGGATTCTTCTGTATAAAAAATTTAATATTCAATTAATACATTAAACTTTTTTTATAAGTTGCATAAACTATATATATTTTTTATTTAATTTAAAAAAATTTAAAATCAAAATATTTAATTAAACTATTTATTAATAATTATTAAATCAAATATTCGTATCACTAAGAACAAAATGATTTAAATCAAATGCTCAAATATTAAAATGACACACATAATGAAGGCATTGTTTTTGGTTTGATAGGAGCTTTCTTTAAGCGTTATCGGTTAAATCATCCGTTCTTCACCTTTTCCATCCAGACAACTTGGTCGGCTCACCCATCACACCAAAAAAAAAAAGAAAAAAAAAAAGCTTTTTGCAATAAAAGGTGAAAGAAATTTAAAAATAAATTAAAAAATTAAAAAAAAGTAATAAAATAATGTGAGTAATTGTACCTGCCAAGTACTCTTACCTGTACCCTCTCTCTCTCATCATTACCTTTCTATGTGCTCCTTCCTTCAATACTGCTTTCCTCTTCTTTATATATTCCCAATCTCACTCTCTCTTCCTCTCAACTCTCCTTCTCCTTTTCCTCTCATTTCCTTTGTCCTTCCGTTATTTTCCTTTTCAACCAACAAATCATATCGAACCAAACAGCGACGACGACAACAATAGCTTCACCTTCACATTCAAAGATTTCTTTTCTTTCCATAAAACACCAAATGAAGCAACTCATCCGCCGTCTCTCCCGCGTCGCCGACTCTTCCCCACAGTACAGCCTCCTTCGTCCTGACAACACCTCCACGCGCCGAGCTCAATCGTTCCGAGTCGCAGTTTCTTCGTTGAAAAAGCAGGCGCGCCGGTCGGTCCCCGAAGGTCACGTGCCGGTTTATGTAGGGGAAGAGATGAAGCGGTTCGTGGTGAGTGCGGAGTTGCTGAACCACCCGGTTTTCATGGGGTTGCTTAATAAGTCGGCTCAGGAGTATGGGTATGAGCAAAAGGGGGTGCTTCATATTCCGTGTCACGTGCTGGTTTTTGAACGTGTTATGGAAGCCTTGAGACTTGGGGTTGAGTCACGTGACCTCCAGGATCTCCTTCGTTCTTTATCCGACGACTGTTTTGTCGATTTCTAGGAGGAGAAACAGGAACAAAACGAGGTCCTTTTTTTTTTTTTTTTTGTGTGTGTGTAAATATACAAGGTTAAAGGCAAAGTAAAGAAATTTAGGGCTTTTTTGGATAGTCCTTACATGTAAACAGGACTGAACAGAAATGGATGAATTGTTCTTTTTTGCCCTATATATATATTTTTTGTTTTAATTTTCTGTGTTTTTTGTCAGAATTAATTGTCTCTTTGGTAATTAAGAAAATCATAATGTTGAAAGGAAAGTAAGGCAAGGGAATGTTTGAGATTCTGACTGCTCTCATTCATGCGTGAAGCGGTTTAAAATGCTGCAATTTTTCTGTTCGGTTCCAAGGAAAACTGAAGGGAAATTTGAAAAATACAATAAATTTTTTTTCTTTTAATTTTCTTTTGATCCAACGACTTTAGCCAAAAGAGGTTCTTTAGTTCAGTTGCATGTATTTTATTTGTCAAAATTAGATAAATTTTTGGAATTTCGAATTTTTATTTTCTTTTTTCTGATTCTTTCTTGAAATTTTTTGACATCCAAATAAGATTGATGTGTTGGGAGCATATCTGTAATTTGGCCGGACATTCGGTGCTTGTTGTCTACTCACGATGTAATAGGTGGTGGAGGTGGTGACAGCGGTATTTCGGGAAAGTTAAGACTTTGGGATACAGGCGACATTAAGGAAGTTATTTGAGGATTGGTTTGGGTTTTCAGTTAATTAATGGGGCCAGCGGGATATGCTCAAAGCATTTTAGAAAAGTGCGATTCCATTCACACTATTTTTTTATTCCTCACATTTTTAAAAAATTATTTTATTATTTTTTCTTTTAATATCTCATTCACCTTAAAGTTTTTTTATATATAAATCCGAAAATTTTTAATAATTTTTAGATTTATATATTTAAAAATTTTTATAGAATATTTTTTTAATTAATTTTTTCCCCAAATTTAAATATAATTTTATAATATTTATATCATCAATAGAAAATATTTTTAATTTGTAAAAATATTTTTTCTCACAATATTTTTATGTTCATTTGCATCATTAAAAAAATAAAAAAAATAATTTTGTAAATTGGTGAATGAAATCAAAACATTTCGTATATAAATATATATTTATATTATAGGACGTAAGCAAGAGTATTTGTGGTTTTATAAATCTCATCCCGTCTTATCTTATATTTAGATTTAAATCCGAAATATTTAAGATAAAAATAGGAATTTTAACTGTTACGATATTCATTTGGCAGCGGATAAAATTAATTTTAATATAGATTTTAGGAAACCAAGAAGAGCGAGGAGGCGTATAATCCGGCAGTTAACCTGTCAACACAAAATGATTAAAAAAAACTGTCAACAGGTTATGATATGATTAAATCAAAATCAGATTAGATTACTTTTATCATTCATTACCCAACTAATCACGTCGCCACCTTATAATTAATTTTATTAAGACATTTAAGATCGTTGATTACTTCCTCTGTCTCTTTTTTTTTTTGGTTCATATATTTTTTTAAGATATTTTAAAATTATGTTTTATATTTTTTGAACATTTAAAATTTTTATTTTTTTTTATATTTTAAAATTATATTTTATGATTTTTTTTTTACTTTTTAACATTAACAATCATCAAATTTTAATTTTATAAAAAAATTAATTTTAATATTAAATACATTAAAGTCAATTTTTTTTTTTTAAATTTCATGAAAGTCAATACAAGACAAATAAATTGAAACTTAAGGAGTACTTTTCAAGAAATCAAAATTATTTGCTAATATGAATTTTATTTCTACTCATATTTGTATTGTGATATAAGCAGTCTAAAGTTTTTTTTTAGTAAATTAGTCAAAATCTAGTTGGGAATGATAATAAATTAACTTATCAAGGATGATATCATATAATCTTTTAAATATTATTTTTTTAATAGGATCAATATTATGAATGATTATTAAATTATAGTAAAATATATAATATGATACTTGAATTTAAAAAATCTTAAATGTAATATTTAAATTATTAATTTATTAATTAATGTGATATTTACTTTTAATATGATTAACTTTAAATAATGATATATAACGAACAAATAAATTTTCAAGTAACAAATTAGTTAATAAATTTATAATTTAAGTACCACATTAAAATTTTTTAATAATAAGATATTATATTAAATATTTTACTATAATTTAAGGTCCGTTTTCCAATAAATTATAGTTTTGTAAAATCTTTTAATTTTCTCGAAACTTTTATATCCACTTAGGTGTATGACTATAACTTATGTTATGATTTATATTATACATAACTTATGTTCTCATTTAATGTACTCCAAATTATCTTATAATTTGTGAAGAAAACTTTGAACTAGTGACAAGGGGAAAATTCTAAAATTCTGAAGTCTTAAATTCAAGTTGCATTACGTGTGGGATTGGTTCAATTTTACGTTGAATTTGTCTAATTAGATTCTAATTTATTGGTTGGTTTTGTTTATTTAATTATCAGTGATTTCTTGTATATGGTTGTAATACTTGATTATAATGATAACTAATAATTTACATGTGTTATAGTAAACCCAAGAGGTATTTTTGCAGTGAAAAAATATGTTTGAAATAGAAAATCATTATATTAGCCTTTTTTTTTAATATTTTATTATTTTATACATATTTTTTTAGAAATTTTAATTATTCACAGTATTTTTTCACATCAATACTAAATACTTAAAATTTTTAATCATAATTTCTTTACCAGATCTTTTAAACGCATTTTTTCCAAAACCAAATTTCTTTCAAATGCAATACAATTCTAAACTAACCCATATTTTGGAGATAAATAATCATATCAATTAGGCGAATCTGTAAGTTGCATCCCTTATATGTGAAATTGAACACAACATATGTTGAGTCAATTATCATCTCGAATTAACTCCCTCTTTCCCAATTTTGCAGCAAACAAATCATCATCTTGGGCAAAAGTAAAGAGAGATACCGTCTACTTTTCATATTTGGTTCCAAATCTGGAGGATGAATCAAAACATGCTTGTAATTAACTTTTCATGTTGAATTGCTAAAAGGAAAAGAAAAAAAAAAAGCCAATTTTATAGAAAACATGTGATGTGAGTAGGTTAGGTTAAGAGAGGTGACAAACAAGAGAGACTTTGGATAACAAGGAGTGGGAATATCGTCCTTTTCTCTTTCGGTATTGCACGTTGGATTATGACCCCACATTGCAAATTGGCTTACCTTTGATTTGAGATCAGCCTTTTCTTTTCCTTTCCCTAACAAAACAATGAAGAATATGTGTCATTATAAAACATTATCATCAACAAATCAAATTAAACCAATTGACTAAGAGCTTAATCAAGCAAAATTCATGGACCCTGGTCCACGATTTGATCCCTTAATCGAAAAATTAATTCGAAAATTTGTCTTTGTACATATAGATAATTAAGCTGCCAAAAAATTATGCCAAAGTGATGAAAAGTAATTCTTTGATCCAAATCAAGCTAAGATCATTAACTAATGGATGAATTAAATTATTGTAATAAAATAGTAATTAAAACTTTGATAAGTCGGACCGAAATATATGACCAACCTAATATCATTTGACTTAGGGTATCGCTCATGTTCTTCTAGTTGAATTAAAGGGTCCAATTTTCTCTTTGACTTAAAAATCTTAGTAATTTTTTTCTTAAATCGATGATGATTTGTGGGAGTTTGTTTTTGTAAAGGAACTAACGACTTTGCATATGACAAAAGGGTGGGAAGAGCAAGAAGAAGTCTTGATACTATGAATGACAGAGTGTTTTTATCAATTATCTATTCTACATATTTACAATGTTCAATCTAATCCAACTAATCACATATATAGTGGGTTAAAAATATTAGTTTTATAAAATGAAAGTATCCGAGTGACACATATATGAACTCCTTAAAAAAAACAAAACCCATAAATTATTAATTTACATTTTTTACATATAGAAAAAAAAGAATTTTTGTGGTGTGTACAAAGAATTTGTCTTGTTAGTCATCTTATATTTAAAAAAGAAATTTGGGTTTAAGTGTATTTGATTTGATGATCCAAAAGTCTTCTAATACGTGAAGTTGAATTTCAAGTTTGTGACAAGCATGAAAAATTCATTTGCCAAGTTTGAATAATTGGTATGTAAATTAATTAACTATCTCATTTTTTTCAAGAAAGTTTACATACTTGAGTTGCAATATATCCATAAAAATATCCAATCATGAACAAGAAAAATCAAATACGGTACATTTAAAGAATTTTAAAAAAGGAAAAGAGATTCAAATCTTTTTTGGTTTGACTGAAACATTCCACTATGATTAAAAAATTATTTTTTCATAATTTTTTAACCAATTTCATGACTCAAACTTTAAACCTCAGTACTTGCTTTGACTAGATAAAATATTTTGCTACGTTCTCGAGAAAGAAACCAAAATAAAAAATTAAAGCCACCTTGAGACATGGTCATGGGCTTTGACAAGTTGGCCACCACATGCTATAAAAAGGAAAAAGAAGAAAAAAAAATAGATATTTTTATTGAAATGGTATACAAGAAAGAAAAGGGGGTGGAATTAAGCTTGGAATATTCTATTGATCAGGCTTTCAAAGACTTTGCAGTATGAACGGAGTTATTACAATAAGCTGTTCACAGCTTATCATATTGAAACAAATCATAAAACTATAAATACTCTGATACGGAGACAACCAGTCAATACGTACATAAACATCAAGCGACGTGGTCTTATCGTTGCCTCTTTTTAATTATTTATATAAAATATTAAAATTACTTTTATATTCGTATTTAAAAAAAAAAAAAAAAAGACGAAAGATTGACTTGCACGTAACTTGTGATTTGAAAACCCTAACGTCGAATATTTTGTTTTTAAATAAGAGGAAATCAAAATGATGCGAATAACGTGGGAAGCAAACATACTTGACCTAAAAAAATGAGAAATCACGAAGTTGTTTTTCAGATATCAAGAATATAACTCTCATTTTAGTTTTATTCAGTTTTGAAGAGCTCTGACAAATGTGTTTTAATGAAGGTTTTAATTTCAATTTGCAATAATTATATTTATTTTTGTAAATGATGAATTTTCGATTTTAGCCGTCAGATTTAAATTTTATTAGCTTTTTATAAAAATCATTATTGTGATACGTAAAAAATATATATAATAAGATGGAAATGTAGTGAAATATAGTATTATATAAGAATGACATAAAGGATAAGCAAAGATAACAAGTCCAAGAATAATGTTGGACCAACTTTTTGACGTGTGCTATGCAAATGCATGCCCTTAATTTGCGGTTGAGGCCACATGCATCTTAGAATGCAGAGTCATGTTCATTTTCTTAATCATAATCATTCATCACGTATCTTTGAATAATATTGTAAAATATTTATTTTCCATATGATTTTCGACTTCCAAAAATAGTTGGTTTAATTGATAAGAAAAATTTTCTTTCATCATTTATTAGGGTATGATTTTTGTGAGGAGCGCTCTAATTTTAAAAAATAAAATCTCTAATACAGTAAATTAATATAAACAAATTTAAAATCATTTAAGAAAGAAATTAAAATTAGAAAAAATTAGAAAATATTCGTAATCATATTATGAAAAAATATATATGATTCTCGAGAAACAAAGATATTTTTGCCCTTGAGAGTAGGGAGATGAGTTTTTAAGATTATTTTTTTAAGAGGAAATGATTGAAGATCCGGAGAAAAAGGGCAATGGAATTAGAGGAAGGAAAACATGTGAATGCAAGATATG